GTGTTTCAAAACAAATGTGAAAAACTTCAGGATGTGAGTCATTCCTTGTTAAAAATAAAGGGTAGTTTGCTTTATTAACGTTGGGTCAAAAGTCAATCATTAGGGAGATATCGCGGTACAAAAATGGCGGAAAAATAAAGTTTTTATTTTTTATCTTGAAAACGAAAAGAGATAGAGTAATGAAATTTTATGGAAGCATTACTGTTATGAGAACACACTTTCTGGTAATTTTTTCACTTTTTTCAAATGAATGGAAGGGGTTGAAATAAACTACCCCTATCATTCTTGTTAACGAAATTTAAAGAAAAATCTTATCAAACACATGCAAAAATTTTTTGTATAGTTTAGTTTGTTTAGAAATTTTTTATCACTTGTGTTTTTTGATAAAACTCACCGATTTGAAATTAAAAAATAAAATGTCAGGACAAAAAACATTTTTGGATAAAGAAAAAAGGCTTCGGAATAATTAAATGATCGTAAGATAATAACGTATTGCAGTAGAGTAATGTCAAATAAAATAATATTAGAAACATCCTAAAAAGTGACAGCGGCCGACTAGATTTTTTCCTAAAAAAATTACAGCAGCGCCACTAGATCTATTATCTAAAAATCTTTTTTGTCATTTGTCTTTTCTGACATGTAATAGTTTACATTTTATTTTTTAATTTCAAATCGGTGAGTTTTATCAAAAAAACACAAGAGATAAAAAAGTTTCTAAACAAACTAAACTATCCAAATTATTTTTTAATATAATAATATTTAAATATAATATAATTAATTATAAATTTTTGCATGTGTTTGATAAGATTTTTCTTTAAATTTCTTTAACAAGAATGATAGGGGTAGTTTATTTAAACCCCTTTCACTCGTTTTAAAAAAGTGGAAAAATTACCAGAAAGTGTGTTTTCATAACTGTAATGCTTCCATAAAATTTCATTAGTCTATCGCTTTTCGTTTTCAAGATAAAAAATAAAAACCTTTTTCCGCCATCTTTGTACCGCGATATCTCCCTAATGGTTGACTTTTGACCCAACGTTTATAAAGCAAACTACCCTTTATTTTTAACAAGAAATCACCACCTGAAATTTTTCGCATTTGTTTTGAAACACCCTGTATAAATAAGTCAAATTTATTTTGGTTAATATTGCTTAATAAACATTAATGTAATAATAATTAATGCAATAATTGAATGTCTCCTCGGTTGTAACCAACAATTTTTTCAATATCGAAATTTCAGTGAAAAAACCGAGGAAAAAACGTTATATGAAAATTACAATCTTATTTCACTGAAATCTCCATTTTGAAAAAAATGTCGGTTACAACGTTTTTCGGGGAAGCTATTTAATGATAATTACAGTGTCCGCCATAAAGTTGGATCCATATGGACGGTTTTTTTTTGGTATTAGAGTTTAAAAAAACCTTTTTGTGGCAATCAATTTTGCTTTAAAAACAACTTAAAATGCACCAAGTCAAAATTGAAACATAATTTTGTTAGTCACCTTTTTTAAAATAATAATAATTTAACCAATTTTTAAAAATTTCTTTTAAATATTTTGTATTTGACAGCTCCCAGATGTTGGCTGTCAACTTTGACTTGGTGCATTTTAAGTTGTTTTCAAAGCAGAAGTGATTGCCACAAAAAGATTTTTTAAAACTCTATAAGAAACGTCCATATGGATCCAACTTTATGGTGGACACTGTATATAGTGTTTATTATATTTAATTTAAATTTAATTATATTTTCACTGGAATGCAAAATACCTAATGTGTTTATCGAAAACTGGTTGTATCCCTTTTTACTTAATGCGTTTTAGCCCAAACTAAAAGGAAAATATTATAGGTATGTGTATTATACTATTATTAGTGTATAAATAATAACAATTTTTTTTGACAAAATGGTGAATGCACCAAAAAATTTTCAAATAATAATTTAAAAAATGTTGACAAAATGGTGAAAGCGCCAAAAATTTTCGCCTGCGGCGCAATTTAAGAACTTTTTACTTTTATACCCACGAGCCGCTACTGCCATGTCCTTTCCTTCCATACATTTCTTATCGGAAACAACGTTGTCAAGTCTATTTGTACCAGTCCTGTTAAAATTTTGCTGATTGTTTCACCTCTTAATTAAATCTCTTACCTTTTTCAAAAGATATAAATTTTTAATATAAAACTTTCGCAATTTAAATTGCACAGGGTGTCCCACTAAGAATAGCTCTCGGCTGTATCTCGGAAAGTATTAGCCATACGGCATGCGGAAAAAAATATTTATAACTAAAGAGGCTATGAGAAATTGTTGGAAATTATTTTCAAGTTTGTAGAACGGCCGCTAGAGGGCGCAACTGCTATAAAAAATAAGAAAAAGAAGTTTTTACACAATTTATTGCAGATTACGAAGCTATTATTTATAGTAGCCATTATCTAGGCAAAATTGTGTAAAAACTTCTTTTTCTTATTTTTTTATAGCAGTTGCGCCCTCTAGCGGTCATTCTACAAACTTGAAAATAATTTCCAGCAATTTCTCATGGCCTCTTTAGTTATGAATATTTTTTTCCGCAGGCCCTACGGTTAATACTTTCCGAGATATAGCCGAGAGCTATTCTTAGTGGGACACCCTGTACAATAAAAAGTATGGAACTGATACGGAACGTAAGCTTACGTATAACGTCAATACAATAAAAAATACGGAACGGATATATGGGATGGAAACGGAAGGTATAGTGAGAATCAATCTTTATTTTTCTATTATCATGTACGAAAGCTAGCAACGTCGGAAAACAAGTATTTTAAGACGTCTGGCTCTTTGATATATCTTTTACTATGCTCTCTAGAACAGCATGCGGCTCGTCTGGCTGCCGGTAAACGTTGCGTTTCCTACTGCGCATTGAAAGAAGATCCTATATCTTTATTAGTCCTTTAAATTCTAGTATTGAATATAAACCGACCAAGTCTCCATAGCTCAGCGCGTAGAGGTTCGGGTCAGTGCAAAAACTTTTATATTATTTTCGTTTATATTCTGATAGAAAAGTATTAAATATATTTTTTTTTTGAATCACCAGAATTATTTAATACTTTACTATCAGAATATAAACGAAAATAAAATAAAAAAGTCTTTGCCCTGACCCAGATTCGAACTCTGAATCCTCGGTTCGTAGTTGGAAACACAAAACATCCCCCTTTAGCACTTTTTCTTTAATGGCCATAAGCGGGAGTAAAAGACCAACTGCCCGAACAAACACTAGAGGCACTACCGGTCATCATATGGTCCAAAAATTGCGAAAATTTAATCATCTAATTTTGACACAAGGGGTTGCGCTTAACTTTTTCAATTTTAATTCAATATTCATTGCTTTCAAATTATATTATTAGACTTTGTTGTATTTTGTGAATGTATAAATGTTTTCTTAGTATAAAGTCGCATTATAGTAATTTAAATTATATTACATACATATTTAAGATTCAAATATTATGACATATAATATGTCAGTTGCCGTCTAAAATGTCATCTTGATAACAAAAAGTTAGTTATTGTCAAAAGTAGTTAAAATCATGTTAAAATATTAAAATTTACAAGTTATAATTCGATATTTTATATTATTTCAACAACAAACACATAATAGTACAGCGTAATGTTGATATGCAGGTCCAAAACAAAAAGTGCCGTTATATTTTCAGTTATCGTTGTCAGCCGCGGAAGTTTCAGTGATTTTAGTGTTGTCGGATATTTCTATTTGTGAAATTCTATTGTGAAATAGAAATATTGCGTTTGGATTGCAAAACTAAAAGTGGAAGTTTTATTGCAATGTAAGTAAGCGTTTGTTCATTTTATATTTTACTTTTTTCATACCTACGACAAATATACATATATTGAAATTTTATAATTCGTTTTATTTAAAAAATGTTAGAAAACAAGCTTATAATCCTGTAATTGACATAATTGTTATGTAATATATTCCATTTAAATGTAATATTATTACTTTACAATTAAAAAAATGTAAATTTAAAAAATATATTAAAAATATATACAGGTATTAATTGAAATTTTTTGAGTGCGAACAAACACGAGAGGCGCTTTATTATTTACTTTCATTTCTTAACATGACAGACGAAGTTCTAAAGGGGGATGTTTTGTGGTTGGAAACTCTACGCACTGCGTTATGGAGACATGTTCGATTTATATTCAATACTAGAATTTATAGGACTAAATTAAAAAAAATATATAGGATCTTCTTCCGATGCGCAGTAGTGAACGCAGTGGGTATCGGCAGCCAGACGGACCGCATGCTGTTCCAGAGAGCGTAGTAAAAGATATATCAAAGAGCCAGACGTCTTAAAATACTTTCTCGAAAACATCGCTAGCTCTTAGACTACATGCTTGATACTATTTTTTTTTGATCATATTGTTTAGCACTTAAAGTTTATAGTTTGAAATTAAGTTCGGTGAACTATCCTGACACACGATTTTTCCTAGAAAATGAAGCTTATGTTACCTTAAAATGAATTTGTTAGATTATTTTACTAAAATCTGATGTGGAAAAATACGTTTTATATAAAATACATTCTTAAAAATGTTGTTATTTTATTTTTATAGCAAATTCCCGGGCAACCAAAGCAAAGTTTTTTGTTTCACTCTTTTGTTGTTTTTTTTTTTAGTTTTCCCGTTCACACATTACCAACGCATTTTTATTATTAAAAATGGCTATTTTTTCAAAATAAAAATAAAAAACAGAAAAAGATAATTCCGTGGAACGGCAACATTGATTTTCCTTTTGTCGCTGTCATGTTAAATCAAGTGTTAAAATTCTCCATAACGTCAAATATGTGTCAAAAACTACTAAAATTAAATTAAAATATTTTAAAATTCTGTGCATAATCTCCATTTATTTTTATTTAAAACTACTACTAAAAATGGTTACTTTTTGGAAAAAAAAAAGAAAAATGCAAAAATCGTGTGTCAGGATAGTTCACCGGACCCTTGAGAAACTGTATAATATTTGTTTTAGACTGACGCGTTATATGCTAACATCGAGGAAGGGTTTGATCCATATGCAGAAGAAACTTCGGTTAACATATATACTCCATTAACAGTACCTTTTGAAATTACCACTTACCAAGCGGTTGACGAAATTCAGCATTACGAAGAAAAGTATTTGGCTTTCTATAGAAATTTGTGTGAAGCAATAGATAGCTTAGTTATGGCAGTCGAATATGCTCAAGATAACATAATTTCCAGCAGTCTACTTGCAAATATAAAAGAATGTGATAAAACTGTAAAAGAAGAAAAACTTTTGTCACAGGAAACTTTGGACTCGTCCGCCCAAGATATTTCTTCCGAATTGAATTCAACATCGGTATCAAATTACTTTGACTGGTTACTGGAGACTCACTGGACAAATAATCCGAACACTAAAAAATACTTTTTGGAAGACCAAAAACTGTCAAAAACATACTTGAAAACTAGTGACAGTTTATGTTCTACATTACGAGTGCCTTCATTAAAAGAAGTGTCTTCATTAAAAAATCTATTTAGTGTAGAACAATACGAAAGGAAACCTGAACCATTTTGTCTGAAAGAAAAAGAAGTACAAGTTAACTTAGATAACGTACAAGTTAACTTGGATAACTTATTAGATAATGCAATATTAAGTGAAACGTTGATGACCACATCGGCGACACCAGTAGGAGAAAAAGATGTTTATCATAGCCTGGAGAAATCTGCTTCGAAAAACATATTCTACTTCTTGGAAGACGCTTGTGAAGAAAATAGTTCTAAAAGTCGAACTGAATTTGTGGAAGGATAATTTTTCAATTGACAAAATTCTTCGTCAATTAGCATTTCATAGAGATCCATCGACCTTTAACTTAATTAAGTACCTATTTAGAAAAAAAAAGACCTATAAAGACTTATATACAAGACCTATACCGTTTAATAAATGTTAATAAGCAAATATAAGGGAAATTAAGATAACTTTCGTTGCACATCATATAATACGACCACCAGCAAACTCCATAAGACAACGGCGACGCATGGTGTCATTGATGACGTGCAACGAAAGTTGTTTTAATTTCCCTTTATGAGTTTCATTAAAAATTATTATACAAACTGTCAATATCTAACGCATAGATAGGGGCACAAGAGATCTTTAAGTTTGTAGTTGCCCTTCTTACTCAACGCATAGATAAATGAATTTATTTCCTTTATATACGATCCGTTATAGGCATAGATAAAAGAAAATAATCTACTATTAAGATAGATATGAAACTTAATAGTAAAATTTTGGGTCAAAGCGCCCCTCCGTGTTTTTAGTGGAGACTACGTTTAACCCAGCACCTTCGCCTTTTCTGCTGTAAATGTTTTTATGTTTATATTTGAATTCAAAGGATTTATTTTTAAAGTTACACTGATATATTAGTATATCAGAGTAACTTTAATAAAACATAAGAATATATATATTTTACAATTTATTTTTTTATTTATTTTACAGAGTTTCATGTAAATAATCGTAAGTCGACTGGCTGTCTAATGAATAGACCGAAATTTATAGATTTTAAAGCGAACGAAAAAAAATCAAACAACAAATACATACCATATGTTTTTCTTTTATCTAAGATACATACCTTATCGTATTTTGGAAACACGTACATTTTTGCAGTTTTGTTAGTTTCCTTGCAACATGCAACCATATGCAACACAACAAAAAAACACCATTTTTACAGTTAATAAATAATAAAACTATTTCTGACTATGATATTTAAAATTTAGATAGATAGAAAATTAAAAAACAAACGAGTATTTGCAAACGCAGGCCCAAATTCAATAAAAATCAAAATCTTTCCTGCGAAAATCAGGCTTTTTTCACTGAAAAGGTATTTTTTGATTTATCAGCAGTCATTGTCAAGTTGACAATATACAGGGTGTTTTCGAATTAGTCTAAAAAAATTATGGTATGATTCCTCATGTGTTCTTAAAAAAAATTTTATATAACTATTAGGTCTAAAGTACTTCCTTTCTGATCTACAGGGTGTTAAAAATTTAAAAAAAATAGTTTTTTTTGCTTAACATAAATGGTATACCACCGCTTTTTTAAAGAATATATATTTTTTTCTTGACTGGCCATCCTTTTTCAACAAAATTGATCTTTTGAGTTTTTCTTGTTCATCAAACGGTTGTCGAGAAAAAAATAAATATACTTATATTAAGAGCATTACAGAGCCTGAATTCGTTTTCTAACGATTTTTATTTTTTAGATTAATTAGGAAACACCCTGTATATGCATATCACAGGCAACCAAATAAACTAGTAACCTCTAAAAATTATTTTTCCTACCACTAGCGACATACGGTGTTTTTAGTGTGTACTAAATTAATTTATCAAAATTTCACCACGGATTACACCATATAAGTTTCCAGGCAATGGTTATAGCCCCAGTAGCACACCAACATTGGTAAAATAATATATTTACATATTGGCGCAATAAAGAAAAGGCGAGATTTTTTTTTAATGGTAAAATATAGCATTCATATATTTATCCTTTGTTAAAAATCGTTATTGATCCAATATGGATATTTAATATTTATCCTATATTTGCTATATTTATAGACATAATGTGTTTTTTCAATAATGGTCCAACATAATTTACATATATTTTTCCATTTTGTTTCGCAAATCTTGGACCAATATTTAGTCTGTACATTGAATCTATGTACATACCACATAATCAAGATTCGGAATAGGAAACTCCCTGGAAACTTTTTATTGTCACTTGATATCAAAATATCAAGATAGTTCGAAAAGTCAATGCATTTTATGCAAGTTATTGTATGTTTTATATATACAGTGGAACATTATTTTCGAATGAGAATGATATAATATATTATATAATATGTTTTAAAAATAAAAGAAATATAAAAAAATCTGCACTTCTTTGTAACCAATATGAAGAAAAAGAAAGATTCAATAAAACGTTACATCAATAAAAACATAATATATTGCTATATAAAATAAAATAATGAAAAATAAGCTGTTATCCTGATAATAAATAAAAAAACGAAAAATATTTTTCTGTTTCAAAATAACTGTATATATTGGGCATTTCTGTTTTTACGTCTTCATTCCCTGTCTGCTGCTCCTGTCAAATACAAAGATATGGATTTGTTAATACCTGCATCCGTGGCGCCTGGAAAACGAACAGCTTCTATGAAACACAAAGCAAAATTTTGTTAATTGCAATTTATTACCAAAACAATTTAAAATTTATACTTATAATAGCCTTATAACTTGACAACTTCTGAAATGATAATTTTCCCTTCTTTCATGATCCAGAATAGAGCATTGCTACATCTCTGGCAAACAGTTTTTTCATTAATAAAAAAACAGATTTGTGGGTATTGTCCCCTCCACAAAGGTATAATCCGTTGAGCCTAAAATAAACAATTTGATAAGGTTTACATTTTGTTTCTCATACGAGTATAATCTGCAAATAATTATTATTACCAAAAGTTCAATATTTTTTTCATCTTCTAAATGCTGCTCTATAGATTCTAGTAAAGCCTGGTTCTCAATTGGTAGTTGAAAAGGTTCTTCACTAGAACTTAATATTAATCATGCTAATTGTGAGCAACAGGTCCTGAATCTTGTTTACTGTTTTTTTCATATCCTGTATTTCCCAATTCAACTTTTTTATTTCTTTTAAGATCAATCTCTCAGAAGCTAAAAATATACATCAAACGCCCAAGTTATCTTGGTTCAAGTAGGTATTTCTACAAAATATAAGTGATCTTCATCAATATATGTTACCTGTTAAAGCTACTGACGGCTCAAAGGGACTTGCGTCTAATTCCCTTTGACCATTGTTCAAAACCGATGGTGATTCAGCCATACAACGTACTTTATGTTTTATGATACTTAAATTTTCTTTAAATAAAGATTTCATTTTGATTGGAGTAAAATCTCTTTTTTGTAGTTCAGTGATAATGTATTAAATATGTTTAGGTTAGGACGTTTTAAATTATGTAAATAATTATTTACATCTAATATGGTCTAAATATTAAATAATCAAATGTAAAAACGTGAAATATCTAGGAAACCAATAGGTTCACCATACTTGGAACCGCGCGATTTTAAAATGCTCCAGAACTTTGCTAACTCGATTCTATATTTAGCCAATATTGGCCCAACGTTTCCATTTACCTATGTAAAAATATGAAAAATATTGACATTAATTAAACATCAGGTTTATTTCAACAGTTTTCACAATTCAAGTGAGAATTGATAGGATACGGCTATTATTTTAGGTTTTTATTTACTTCTAAATTGTCTGGTAGTTGAGTAAATGTTTAGGTTAGGATGCCTCTTACAGGAAATATCTACTAGTCTACATTTAAAAGTTGTTGAAATAAAGTACTTACCAGTTCACCTTTACTTAAAGTGATCCAAATTACACTGCACACAAATAGATAAATCACAAATTATTTACTTGATATTAATTTTAAGGCATGTATCATGATTTTGAGATGCAAAGAACACAACAAATTATAAAATAAGGCGGGCGGGCGCGCGTCATCAATGAATGCGTCATAGAAAAGAAGAGTGGGGATGCAACAGGAACCCGTTTTATGACGTTGTGGCTATCCAGACCAGATTTCTTTATTGCTTTTCGTTTATTTGGCACTCACCACTCGCGTTACAGAATTTCTGCAGGGTATACTGATTAGTTAACACTCAATTGCAAGTCAAAAATATTACACAAATTATGAATTATTGGCATGACAATAGTAAATTGCAATTATATTAAAAAAAAAACAATGAATTATTAAACTATAAAAGAATAATGTCGTAAACTAACATGACTGTAATAATATGAATGATTTTTTTGAAAAATTAAAATAATTATGCATTATTTAAATATTGGTACGTTATTGTGAAAATATAGAATTATAATAAAGGAAAAAGTTTTATTGCCAATCAACTACCAATATTGGCTAAAAATCGGCAATATTGGGCCAGCTTACAATTTTTACCCAACATATCCTAAATATTGGGCCAATATCTTGTGCTATTTGGGAGGCTAGTAAGCGAGGGTTTTAGGGTCCGAATTCTGAACACCTGCACTGATTGACGTGAAATTTTAACAGTCAATAGAGATATATGTAAGAAACAAAAATTACATAGTAGCGATGTCTGCTTTCACCCTGGGGGTGAGCGACCCTGTCTGTTTCTCCAGTGGACATTCTGCTTTTTAATTATATGGGATGAGGATTATTTTTTCTGTAGAATGTAAAAAAATACCTAAAGAAAAGCTAAATTACTCATAACAAAGTCAATTTAGTAAAGTGCGTTCGTGTGTTCCATAATTATTGATTTGTAGAATCCTTGTAGAATGTAGGATGTTTAGGAGGGGAGTTAATCACCGCGACCTTATAGATCTATTGTGTGTTCCCCTTTCTTGAGCTATAACTCATCATACAGTCTCAGGGCTTTAACAAAAGCCAGTATCTGAGACAGCTTCACAGAGGCCAGCTCTCCATCCTCGACATCACACGTACCAAAGTTCATGGCACGAATGGTCGTCGTCTCGGCGCACTCAGTGATAAGGTATTTCCCTATTTTCCCCACAGAATCTGCATTCGCCGTTGTTTCTCAACTTCAGCCTACTGAGGTGTTCCATGAGGAGACAGTGTCCTGTTAGAAACCCCGTGGACAATCCGAAGATTGTTTTTACTGAAATCAAGGAAAACCTTTGATTTTTCTCGGTCGTAAGTTCTGAGGAACTTTTTCGAGTGTCTTAGACCGTTGGAGGACACCCATTCCAAGTTAGTGATGGAGTCTTCCAGGTTCTTCAGTTCTGCTTTCAATTATTGATTTAGAAGAAGGTCTAAAGCACGTCTAAAGATCATTGATGATACTCTGAACCTCCAAATAAACAAATACCAAATTAAAGCAACCACAAGTACTTGTGTTACAAATTTACAATTTGACGCATTTAATTATTGTACTTTTTAAAACAATTATACAGGGTGTCCCAATATTCCGTGGACTTAGAACTACTACTACGTATTTTTGGAATCAAAATAAGTTCATTGGACACAATTTAAAAAAAAATTTAAAGTGCTCCGCTAGAGGGCATCAAATTAAAAAAAAATAAACAATTATATTTCAGATATTTTAAGAACCGTTATTCCGATTTGAATAAGATTTTGGGTGTCTATGTTTTGCTAAGTGCTTTAACATTTGACTTTTACAAAAATCAAGAAAATATAAATATTTTCCAACTCCACCGATGGCAAATTTTCTTTTCATAAAAGAGTCCGTTATCAAGTTGTTATAATTTAAGAGTATTTACTACACTTTTTGCCTCTTGTAAAAAAAACGCCATATTGCATAGTTTTTGAGATATTGGAGAATTTATTTTTGCCTATTTTTCCAAAGCAGACCTACAGAGAGTTCCAATATTTCGTGGCCATAGAATAACCTGTGAGAACAACTACGTATTTTTTTGAATAAAAATAAGAGAATTAACCAAACCAACACAAGCGTCACTGTCTAAAATCTTTAGCGCGAAATTCAACTAGGTAGATGACGTCAAAAAACTGACAGTATAGGCCGGAAGTATACAGGGTGGCGCCTCATTAGCCTGGGTTGCGATTATACGTAAATGGAAATATGTAGAAACAACATATTTTATGGGGGTAATGGTGTGGATCCGGTGGCTGACCTTGAAACGAGTTTCTACTGCATATAGCCACAGACACTACGCATGCGCACATCTTCGATGTTGCCAGATTGTAAGTTATTTTGGAATTATTTTTAGTAGAAAACAAATATGTGCTTTTCAGTGTTTTTTGTCAATATATACCGTATGATCGAAAAAACGGCGTCCAGTTGGCTGGGAAATGACGATTGAGGACATTTCCCATATAAAATGACAGCGATCTTCATTTCATAGTCATCGCTGACGCTATTTTTTTTCAATCATAGTACGCGGTATATTATTTATATCAAGGATTTATATATTATTTTAATATTTCGCACAACACGTGAACGCTTATTATGTATTTTCATAGTCAATAAAATTAAATAGACATAAAACTCTCGATTCCTATAATTAATCTAATTACTCTAGATTATTACGCTACGTTTAAAAAGGGCTTTATTAAAAATTCGGGAAATTATATGTCCAAGTTCTTCCTTTTTTTTAATTTTTAAATGCTGTAGCTCCATGTCATGTTCATAATAGGTTTTCTGCTACTTTAAGATTTCTCTATTCTTACATCTAATTTATGTGATTTTCTTAGCTATAATATGATTTATAAACCATATTTTTCCTAATGGAAGGATGGAATAGGATATGCAAAATTAAGATATTTTAACATTTATTTTCCAGACAAAGCATAATATAGTATTAAGATTAAGACATAATAAATATTATAAGAAAGATCTTAATATAAATCACAAACTAAGTCTTAATTTGGTCTTGTATAAACACAGGTATAAAACTAATAAGATCAAAACTCAACCTTCACCATATTGTCAAGATTTGGCATTATAGGAAACAAGAAATTGCAGTAAATTAAGAAAAGAATATCAAAGTACACGATATTAAATACTGTAATGTATTCTACGACACAAACCATCTCCCTTCTAAAGAGAAAAAGATAAAACAAAGCTTATTTTAGTCTTATCAACACTCTTCGATAAAATATATGTCTAAAATTGCTATTAATCCACTAACTTGATATTTTTAAGAAATTATATGATACAAACATTACAATCAAAGTATATTATATTAGTAACATTATAGGTAAAATATGTTATCTCTATCTCCCATTGACGTTTATTGTTCTATAAGACTCGTCATGGTAATATTTCAAAACATCAATATACATATAATGAAAACTATTGTTGCCTGTAAATAACTAGAAATTAAATAACTTGAAAGAAATACAATTTGGCAACATCGACGATGTGCGCTTGCGTAATATCGATGATCAAATGCTGCAAATATGGCCTTCAAGGTCAGCCACCGGATCCACACCTTTACCTTTATGGGAATATGTGGGAAGGCAATGTGCATAATTTAAAATTATTTTGAAATGTACAGGGTGTGTCAGAACTAAGATCCATACCAAAGTTATATTTTTTCTGGAACACCCGGTAGTTTATTTCATTTTTGGATTCTTGGACATTAAATAAGGCATTTATTATAAGGGTTTAATATGTTTAAAAGCTTAACATTTTTACCAAAACCAAACCAAACCAATTTTTTTTTTCTAAAAACTATGCGATGTGGCGTTTTTTTATAAGAGACGAAAAGTGCAGTAAATACAAGGAATCGGAATATCAGTTTTTTTCTTTAATTTTTTTAAAGTTTGATGCCCTCTAATGGACAAACGAAGCACCTTTCTTTTGGTTAATTGTATCCAGAATTGTATCCAATGAACCAGCAATGAACTTGTGTTTATTCCAAATATACAAGTACCTACGTCTATCCGTTCTGTAGCTACGGGGTATCCTTGAGGGTGCAGCCACACTATCCTAAAAACGGCGTATCGGCGTAACGGCGTAATGACCTTGAATCGATTTCCAGTAATTCTATTGGCTGAAATTTTTGACAGATGAATTTGACAGATAAAATTTCTGACAGATGAATGTTTCAGCCAATAGAATTACTGGAAATCTATTCAAGGTCATTACGCCGTTACGCCGATACGCCGTTTTTAGGATAGTGTGGCTGCACCCTGAGAGGGGAAACCATAGAAGGGGAAACGGTATTCTCTCGTTGTTTTTTCGTAAAAAATTAGACGACGCGTCCCATCAATAAAAATTCGACAAATTTGCAAGTAGCCAATAAAATGAGTTGCGGTAACGTACCTACTCGTCAAGTCGGCGTATAAAATATATTGCTGTTAGTGTTTTTTGTCCGCATTCCTTTCATAGACACAGATCCAGTTGACGTACTTTACGTAGTAGTTCTATGAAATATTGGAATGCCCCTGTGTACCTAAATATACGACTTTAGTATTTATAAAAAACTGGCCATGTATA